TCTTATCCAAATGCAAAGCAGAAAAGAGTGGAAGAAACAGGCTGAAAAGATAATGGGGTAGGAAGAAGAAGGAAAATAGTTTTAGTAGGAAAGAAGAGACAGAGAAAAGGGTTTGAGAGAAAGGGAGGAAGGAAGTGAGGAGACAGGGGTGATGGATGTAAGGAAGACAGAAGAAGAGCAGAGAGAGAGGAAAGTTAAAGGAAAAGAGAGGGTGAGGGAGAGGAAGAAGGTGATTGATAGCTGACAGAAATGTTCACACTCTCATCAGCAAATTCCAGTCATAACACTGTTTGGCAGTAGATTCTTATCCTGAAACCAATGCAAATTCTTTGCTGTGGATTTCTCTGGCTTTTCACTGAGGATTTGTTTACAGCTGAGATTCTTGTGGAATGGCCTGTCTGGACTGGTTTTGAACCAGTGTCCTTTAAAGTCTAAGTCATGTTGGCTGATTGCAACAGGGCAGGTCAAACACAGGGAATAGCTGAATATGAGGCAGGCAGCTGGTTGGACTGGGAACATGTGTGGTGTTTGATGTATTAACTTGTTTCATGTTGCTGCTGCTATTGTGTCACTATGCAAAAGCCTTTTCCTCAGAATGTGTTTATCTAAGAATTAATGTATTTTCCAAAATGATCACATTGTCATTGCAATAAGTCTATTGCTGCTTGTGGAATTAAAGTGTCTAAGTTCATCATTTTGAAAATTACTCTTATTTGCTTTCATACTGTGAAGTTATACTGCCAGCAGCTAGTTAGCGTAGCTTAGCACAAAGACTGGAAACAGGGGGGAGACAGCTAGCCTGGCTATGTCGGAAAGTAATAAAATCAGCCAACTAGGACCTCTAAGGCAGGAATTATGCTTCTGCAGAGATACGTTTAAACATCTTTGCACAGGGAAGAGTGTAATGGCTAACTATAGCTGGAGAGGAGCCGACGTGCAATCTCAACAATGCTTAGCAAGGATTTATGTTTTTTTTAATTCAGACTTTGGGCGTACATTTCAGCATAGTACAGCCACAAGTAATATTCCTGCAGAGCACATGGAAATAAGTTCCTTTTCGTTTCTTCTCCCATCCATTCACACTGATAAATCCAAGTCCTTTCACATTAGTTCCACAGATGTTTTCTGATTTATTCCACATTTTCTTTACATTGTGATTTTCTTAACATGATACTGCTTCCTGGTGAACACATATGTTACACCCCAAATCTGTAAAAGAAATAAATAAAAGAAGCAGACATACTCTGAATGTATGTTTGCTCATGTGCAGCCCAGAGAATCATGACTGCAGCTTAAAGCTCGCCAGTTAACACATTATACCTTTTTTTAGTCTTAAAAAAACAACAGATTGTGGTTTTACAGGAGGTTTTATTCTGCACTAGTTCTTGACCTGACTTGATCTGGTTCATGTCACCTCACTGCCAAGCCAAACAGTTTCAGGTTATGAGAGTGGTATTGATCTTCCCATCTAGGTAACTGTTAGAAAGAAAGCAAATAAAAAGTTTATTTACCAAAATGTCAAACTATTCCTTTAAGTGTATCTTTTTTGGCAGTGTCTGTATTGAGGCTGGTGTATTAAAGTGCCAAAGTCCTTTTGCATGTGGTTTTCCACATGATGACATGAGAACTGCCACTCAGTATGCGTGTCGTGTCTTTGGCTAAAAAGGTTTTAGAAACTGTGTCACATTGTATAATGTCATGTATTTCCTCTGCTGCAGCCGTAAGTCCTCTAGCCACCAAATATATTTACAGTGGATTAATGTAATTATGTGATTATGAAATTCAGATATTAAATTATGGTCTATGGGGAATAGCTGCAGCATCGCATTGCCTATGTCTTCATAACCACAACTACAGGGTTGCGCATGACACACACAGGACCACAGAGCAACATTAAAGGCAATAACGGATAAAGTCTGACTCAGAAAAACAGGGAAACAGTGGTACAGACATGATTTTGGAATTGAGCGGCCTCATTAAGAGTGGAAAAACCACAAGTCTATAATTGGAACCAGTATTTCCCCATTTACTGTTCAAGAGTGACAGTAGGAGGCTCAATCAAATCCTGTGGCCCCGGGCCTGAAACAGTCCTATTTGTGTTAAACAGAGCATCTGACAGATTGCCAGTTTGCTGATAAAATCTAGAGAAATAGAAAAAAATGACATCTTGGAATCATGACATAGTGGCATCAGAAAATGTAGTTACCAGCATGAACCCTGACCAAATCAACCCGTTAACAGCTGAACTTTCAACCATATGTTTTTTTTGTTACTGTTCTATCATAGAAAGATGCCTCCCAATTTTGATGAAATCCTGTGAAATCAAACTTAAAGTAAGGGACTAAAGAGTTTCAAAACAGAACCACAGGGTTTTATTCCCCCAAATTAGAGAACCTTATACACAAAAAGACTCACTATTTGATCTGTACAGAAAATGGAATATTTGATCTTGATGACCTATGTTGGTAGGACATCCTTTGTATGTGACATTTCTCTCATTCTTTAACAGTTGTCTGATTCTTTATCATGAACATTTCAACATAAGGTATGTAAAAATGTCCAATTAAGATGTAATGTGTGAATGCTGTTTGCTACCTAATTAGTTAATCTTCTAGGTAACACAAACCAGCAACTGAAAGTTTCAAGTCACGCATGTACCAAGATATAGAACCTTAAAAGGTTCGATGTAAAACCATTTGTTTTGAGAGTGTAGTGTCCAATGCAAAAAAATTCACTGGGAGACAAAAATATTTCGTCCTCCTCTTCCTGTAATCCAAAGTTTCTCAATCTTTGGGTCAGAACCTCATGTGTTACTCCCAAACTAGTTGTATAGTAGCCATATGCTTCGCATGCGAAGGGCTCTTATTACAACAAACGGCACCTCAATCTGTCCCAAATTACACCGCCTGGCCTGTGGGGAATTCTTAAGCTGTTTTTTGGCTAAAGACATCAGCATGATCCCCATGAGCACTTTCCACTACAGCCGAGGAATAATATGTGGACACACACATTGTCAGAGCTGGTTAGTCCCTTTGCCTGAAAACCAAGCCACACACATTTGCATAATTAGAGCCAGGCTGCAAGAAGCACGTTGCTTATGTAATGTTGCACCTGATATGTGTTAGTACACGAGTGTTACTTGTGTCTCTGGGGTCTGGAGCCGTCCCTGAAAAATGATAAATAAACAGATAAAATAAAAATGGATCTCAAATAAACAGGAGCAGTGTTTTCTTGCAGACAGACTGGACAGATTTCCATTGTATTTTTATCCCAGGACTTTTAAACTTTACTTTTACATCTGGAACCAAAAATGTTTGTGACTCTTTGTGTGTGTGTTCAATACATCAAATTATTCTGATTAAAAAAACAACTTTACATGCACAAGAATTTTACCTGAGTCCCTGTGTCTGCTTAGTTGGGAACAAGCTGAATCTGATCTGCCCTGAAACCACACACATTTGCATGAATGCAAAGCAAGTTCTGCTTATGTAAACGTTTACCTCATACATGTGTGTGATCCCCTGCACCTATGGGACCTCCCCCTTTAAATCGTTCCATATCCAATATCACGAAGTACAATATTAAGTTTCAGTCTCGCTAGATTGATTTGTTTTTGGCATCTATTCATTCTACAGCGGAAATGTTCAAAGAGGAATCCCAGCATTTTGGTTGTCCTCGAAAAGTCAACAACAATTTCATCCAATTGGATTCCAATTTGCCAAAGGCCCTTCACACCAAAGAAATGTTTTCAGTTATTCTGGCTCTGCTCAGGTTTAAGTTGGGTGGAGCTCAGAGTTATGATGTTACCAAACATAAAAAAAGGTTATGGGTGTCCTAACCAAACAGGTGCATAAACTTAACAAGCGAGTCAGTGACACAATTCTGGTGTAATCAGGAAAAATAAGTGAAAATATGTTTTTCATGTGTACAAGTACTGTGTGTAGGCTACAGTGTTCATTGTGTACACTGTAAAATAATACAGAAAAATGAGTGGAATCAACTTATATTTTCTCATTAACTTCATGTAAACATATACAATATGTTTTATTACTTTAAAGTTAATTCAACTTAAATAGCCTAGTTTTTTATTTTCAGACCACCTCAGGACTTATAACCATGAATTCACCTGAATCAAGTTGAATGAGGAAACTGCTGAGTGTTCACTGAACTCATACAAGTAAGAAGCATGATTAGCATATTAGCATTGCAGGTTGCTCTACTATCTCTGTTGAGGATCTACAATCTGCCACTTTCATGCACTGTTCTGGCTTGTCAGATGTGTAGTCACAAATATGTGACATCTGGTGATAAAGCTTACATTTCTGAAGATTGAAAGGTGAACTGATGAAAACCATTGTTCTAGTGATCATATCTTAACATATACTGACCCCTAGTGAATAACCAGCAGAAGTGAAGATGAGTACACTACATGCAAACCAGCAGAACCCGCAGAAACCTCAAAGGACATGACATCATTTCTGGGCAACTGTAGCTTACGACATGTACACTTTTAAAATCTGAGGTCCTGTTCATCATGCCAAATACTGATTAGTTGTCATTTCCAGTGGTATAGTCCAGAAGAAACTATTAGATATGCTGTCAATAACATATTTATAAAATACAGTAGCCTGAGAACAGTGAGAGTAGAATTCTGTTTCTAGATGCTGAGTGGCAGCAGAGAAAATTACGTACGTATTAAAATCTCATTAACACGTACAAAACTGAATTATACAAAAAGACTTGTGGCTTTACTAGTGGTTATGTGCTGGACTACTTCATGGCCAAGAACAGTAACTTCCTGAAGCTAAGCTAACCTGCTGCAGAACTGGAAACAAATTGCATAGGTCTTCTCATCTGATTCTTAACTGTTCCTGTGAATACTTGATACAAAACCTTTGGCCATCACAGTATTGTTGCTCCAAGAAAATTGATTTAAAGAAAAAATAATGTGAAACACTTTAGATGAGACAACAGGAGGATAAAAAGTAAGCACTGTGCAGCTATGCTAAAAAAGTTTTATGGGGACTGCTGCATTTTATTTTGCCTTTTTCACATACATAAAACCATATGTGCACTCTAGCCAAAAATGCTTGTATTTACAAAAAAGAAATTAATATACACCAAAGAATTATAATACAACAAAAAAAAATATGAGTCCTTCAGTAATCCTCACAACAACAACATAGCAAGTACGAACAGAACTTATTTTTTGACACCTTGTAAAGTTTTTGTGCAGAGACTCTTTTCTTACAAGGAGAAAGTGTTTGTATATTACAAAACTCAGATGCACATCAAATATGCAAGCTGCAGCCCACATTCTCTGGGTGTATGAGGGTAAAAAAAGCTTTCTGAAGAGTCGTCAGTAAAACCTTGTTTTACTCACTACATCATTACTTGCCTTCAGTGCATTAAATTCTGCAATTAAACACTAATTACAAATGTAATTTAAGTAAATCTGAGGTCTTTGCAAGATTTTTTGGGCGAGCAAACTAAAGTTGTGTCATCTTTCAAATTTAAGTAGGAAATTTAAATCAATCAACGAAAGGTTGAATCCAAACTTTTGTAGTGTTTGTTTCCATCCATGGCCGGATGGACTGAAACGTATTGCCTAAAGGCCGAGGCTGATAACTCACATCTCTGAAGCATCTCAGAACAAAATGCAAAATGAAGAACTAGTAACTGTATCCTCCTGAAAAACACTGTTCAATAGCGTATCTAACTGGAACAAGTCATTCTGGAACAAACTTCACCATGTATCAAATTCTTGTTGAAGTGATGTTCAATAACAGATCATCAGAGCAGCAACTTCAGGTTCAGCACCTGTGTTCCTCCACAGCTTTAAACATCAGGTTTGAGAAGCAACACGAGCCTTGTCATAGATTTCTTGTCATAGACAGTTTCTTGCCGAAAAAAACAAACAAATTTTTAAACAACTTATTACCAATAGGAACAATTTAAAAAGAAAAGTTTCTCACTCAGAAAATTATGGTCCCTTAGAAAACTTTTAATGTGTCAGATATTATTGCACTGACTTTGTAGGGAGAACTGGTAGTGTCTAAAAGCATCATTTGAATTGAGCCAGGATATACAGGTAACATATTGAGTGGATAGAGATGGGCAGTGCTGCTTTAATTAAGAAGTAGATTGATAAGTGAGTTGAGCTCAGCCTGGATATATACACAAAGTGAGCTATATCTGAAATGATAAAAAAATACTACAGGTTGACTGCCCATCAATACAGCCTCAAGACGCTGGCCTTGTATGTAATTTTCTTGTTATTCTTTCTGCCATTTCTGTCCAATATTAAGAATAAATATTCTTTGATGCGAAAGCTAATGATCTCAATATGCTTCCTGAAATATTTCTAATAAAGGGCACCACGGTTATCTTCATAAAACCGCTCTCCAACAAGTGCATTGTCTGGGAAATCAAAGTATGATACAATTAAACTATTCCTTGCTGATGTTGAATGACTCCTGAAGAGCTGAAACAATTTGCTGATGTCAAGTTTAATACCCTGGCGCTGCCCGACAGTGAATGAATTCTGTTCCAGAATATTATAAGTACTGTATGTAAGTCGTATGTTGAAAATGTGAAAACATGCAAAACCTGCCAGTGTCAATAATGTCATCAAGAAAAAGCTCTTTGTGAGAGGTGTTAAAAGTCTGATGGTAAACAAGGTTTTGGAGAAGAAACCCATCATGTGCAGAGCTGGAGCCGCTGTCCTGTGCGACCAGTTCACTGTGTTTGGTCCAAAATATTTTCTTCCAGTGCCAGTCCCACATTCATGGAACCTCTGGACTCTTGTTAAGGGACTATAATGATTTATTATAATCTGAACAATGTAGCCTTTGCTGCTTCACAACTATGGCAATTTCTGAACATTTTGATTCTGTAGACACCAGTGTTGTTCATGTTAATCACTTTGAAAGCAAAGGAGGTGGGAGAGAGAGAAAACGGAAAACATTCCAAAAATACTCTGCCAATAGCAGCTAGTTTGACGACCAGTCTGAATGTAAAATAATAAAACTATCCATGTCCTCCAGGCTGGAAGAGACGGTGAAATAAATTATATTTATGCTGTATGTATATTCTTGCGATTGTGTGTACATATTGTGTGTGTCTGCTGATTCTCATGGCAGAGCCAGTTATTTATCCCAGCAGCAGCCCCGACAGGGCGTTCAGGTCTCTCATGTATGGGTTGTCGCTGAGAATACGGTCGATCCGCTGCTTCTGGTCGGGGAAGATGTCGTACAGCTTTCTCTTCAGCTCTGATGTCTCCCCCGGTGATCGCTGGGGTGGAGGCGAGGGTGATGGTGAGGGGGAATGGCGGGGCGGGTGCCATTCAGGGGGACCAGAGTGGGGCCAGTGCGCTGTGGAGTGGGGCATCAGGGAGGGAGGAGGCCTTGGTGTGGAGGTGGGGGTCCGAGGGGCAGAGTGGAGGGCCTGGACGTAAACTGGCTGCTGCTGCTGGGAGGACGGCCGGAAGTCTGGGGGTCTCAGAGGAGGAGGAGTGACTGCGGTTCTCCTGACAGGGAGAAATAGTGAGAGAGAGGGAGAGTGTGCAAAGATATCCAACATGTGCAACAGGCTGGTCATTTACAGAAACACAAGTTCCAACAACAGTTCCACATTAAGAAGTCATGATGAAGCAAGTTTAAAAGAAAGTATTTATTACATGTCATTACAATCATAACATGAACCTCACACACACACCTGTTGTCTTTACGCAGGAAGATGTCCAGGTGAGGTCCGTTTTTCCCCAGAGGGTCATCAGGGATCATGAAGTGGTCCTCCACAAAAGTAAACTGAAGCAGCCTGTCAGTTACAAGGAAAGAAATGTTTCCTGTAAATTTCCTTTAAATTAAAAACATTGGAATTGAAACAAATTATTATAATAAAAAATGATGAAAAAAAACTCTGTCTCCTTGTCTCAACTCTATCTAGCAGATGAACTGCTGCACGTGAGTTCAAGTGTCGAGTGTCAATTTCAAGAATTGACATGAATTTAAACAACATCTGCATTATTTGCTTTCAAGTTTTCAAAATGATTGAAAATTTTACCAGTCACCACATTTCACTACATTCGCTGGTAGGAGCCCAAGTACATTAACAGCTACGTTATTTGCTTTGCCTGAACATGTCTTGTCAGGCAGTGGTTACAAACTGTATGTTGCACTAAACATGTTGCATCAATTCAAATTTTAGCAAAGCTCTTCCCTGCTTATAATTTAACCATCACCCATTAATAACATATTAACACAATACATAACACAAAAAAGAAACATATAGTAACATGATACATACAAGGGACCATTTGATTTAGCACTACAGGAGCTGTACACTACCTGAGTGTCTTAACTAAGAACACTGAGCTATCAGCTGATGCATGAATGTCTGTGTGCTGCTCACATTTACTTTCCAAATTAAAACCACTGTACTAAAAGTACTACTACTGGTTCTAAAGCTACAGTGTGTAGTTGAACTTTTTGTTGCAATTTTTCAACACTGCATTAAAACGTTGAGTATGCAAAGCATTAATCTTAGTGGTAAATTAACTACACAGGATTAAAAGGTGAATTTTATAAACACTAGAAAAAACTGCAAAGTTGCAATTGTAACACTTCCTCAATTTATAAAATAACATACAAAAAGCTGCAAATTGCTTTGCAGTTCAGAAAAGCTTTTGGGATACTACAGAATCATGGGAAATAAAAATTGGGTTACACTTTATTTCAGATTGGCACTATAGTCTTAAATTGATGCACATTAACCAAATAGTCAGTCTAGACGAAAACAGCAACAAGATAAAGAGACAGAGACTGAGGGAGACAACAGCTGCTGTCGGTGTAAACGGTGACAACCTATGACAGCAGCATCATGTGGTGTCACATGGGGGACGCCCAGGCTGAGCCAGTAGAACGTGTCAGATGCTGGTGTCCTGTATGAATGTAGTTTGAGTTTTTGACTGATCTGAAACATTTCAGCTGCATAACAACCAACAGAGGGCGACACAACCTCAGAAAACTACCCTATACTCTGTATTCATTCTTTCTCTGGTGGTGCAGTGTACTGTAAACTGGATCTGTGTACGACTTGGAAGTTTTTAAATCATGTTTTATAAAACAACAATCCACACATTCTTCATTAATACTGAGCAAAAGTGATGATGTTATTCTATGAACCAAAGGATTTTATCTGAATATCTTTGGACACCACAAAAATCTGGTAACTCATCCCTTTCATATGAATTTATTTGATAAAGTTAAGGCACACCTAAGTTAAATAAACTCATACTGAGTTACTGTAATTGCCCAGTTAAATTCTCATAAAAGAACCTGCAAACATAATAGTTTCAATTTTATTTGTTATAATATTAAAAATGGGAAATAGCTGCTCTTGTTCTTCCTTTTTAGCATTTTGAGATTGATAATAAATGTAATAAGCAAACAAGCAGTAAATAAGAAGTACACTATCAACACTGATCATTGCTGGCAGGCTGTCTCCTTGGACTTTCCAGCATCATGTTGGGTAATGGACCGTTTAAGTGGATGAATAATTGAGCCGTGTAAACCTAACACGCAATCACCTCTCTTGAATAATCTTGCGCCAGGTGTCGGAGGTGTCGACAAAGTCCCTCAGGTTGTCATTGGTAACAATGATCCCATCTGTTTTTTCTGCGAGGTGGAGCAGAAATCTGACATAGAGAGAGATAGAGAGCGAGAGAGAGAGAGTATGGATTAGATCTCAGGATTTTCCCTGTGTTCAAAGTTCAAAAGCTTGTTCCAAGATCGGCTGCCAAAGTCCACAGCTACAGGAATGCCTTGCCTTTTTTTTTTTTTAAAGTACGTTCATTTTAAATTACTCACACAAAATGACCTTATATATCTGTGAGGACTGATAGAGTTGCTGATCAGTTTAGTATGCTGAGAGACTTGGCTTTAAAAACACATCTGGCCTACACACCTGCCCAAAAATCACAGAAAGGTACAATCATTGCAGCATTTTAAATCATAATACACTATAATATATCAGTCCTCTTTTTCGTGTGCTTGTTCATCTCTGTCCAAAAATACAGTATGACTACAGTTGGTGTTGGGCAGGGTGAGATATTTGTGTAGGATGAGATAATCTGATAATTGAACCAAAATATAATAAGAGAGATGTTCAATCCCTGGCTCTGCTGGTCTTCGACTGAATCTCTTGTACCTCTACTACTAGAAATAAAGTATCAAAAACTGGTTGATTCTCTCCTACATTATGATTGTTTAATCAAAGGTTTAAGACTGTGGGTGTGTGCCTGTATGTACCTGTCATCGTGTGAGGATATCCTCTGGCCACAGACCTCTCTGGAGGGAGTGAAGGACAGCAGCCTCAGGTCCTCCAGCTGGTTTAAAAAATGTTGCTCTGTAATAAAATAATAATTAAATTAATATTACATGAGAATGAAGTGGCAAAGCCAGCGAGACACACATACACAAAAAGGTTTGTTTAGATGCTGCATGCTCAAACAGGGCGACCATCAACAGATAGCTCCTGCTTGCAAGGTTCACATGGCCGACAGTGGCACTGTTAATTACTAATAAATAATTATGACTATCATTTTGTATTATTATAATATTATCTTATATATTCAGAACAGTGGCTGTGAGTTTGCTGTGAGACCGTGGATACGTTTTTTTTGTCTCGTTACAACAAATGCAGTAACATTATCAGTTATTTCTCCAGCTATACCTTCTAAACAGAGCTGGTACAAGTCACACATCAAACAACCTGAGGAAACATTACTGTGATAATAGAGCAGGAAAGTTTTCAATATCTTAATAACTACATTTTTGCATTGACTTCATTCATGTCACAGTGATAAGGTACTGCTGTGAAAGCATAAAAACCTCGCAGGTTGATTTATTATTTATTTATTATTTTACAGCACTTTAGCCTTGTGCTTCTTCTTGTGTGCTTCTTCACTGACCTTCTTACAGAGCAAGTTAAGTTAAAAAGGCCATGTAGCCTTCTGACGTCCTCTGCTGTCTTGTGATATGACTCTCACCTTGCAGGTGTTAATGGTCATTTGAGTCTCCCTGCTCATCATGAATGTATAAAGATTTGTTCTAAAGTTGGTTCAGTTGCTCATGAAATGAAAACTTATTACAGTGATTAAACCAGTGTTACAAATTTAAACTGGATTCATATGAAAGGATGGTGGGCTGGGCAATAATATACATATATATATATATATATATATATATATTTTTTTTAAATCACACTTCCATTTTTTCAGTGATCTCCACTTACACACACACACACACACACACACACACACAGTCTGAACGAAATAGGACAATTTTGTTTGTGTTGTGTACATGGACATGGGATGTGACTGTGGGGTGAAAACTCTATAGTCACCGTTTCATTTGAGATACACTGTACGTGAGTGAAAAGCCAAAACAATGAAAAACATATGCTGCAGGTGTTCAATTATTAGCAAAGTCATGTGTACCTGTTGTGAGTCGGTCTCTCTTCTGACGCCACTGAGGGACAAATACTGTAATCTCTCTGTGGCCCCGCCTCCAAAACGTCTCCACTGCCAGTGCTATGCCTCGACAGGAGAAGAACCGATGAAGGCCGTGACTGGAGAAGAGAAGTGAGGGTGAGATCTGAGATACAAATAGATTTAATTTAAGTTAAGGTAAGTGTGCTTTAGATAAAGAAAATACAGGGTCTCTGGTGATATGACCTCATACAGAGAGATAAAGAAGAGGAATAACTTTTTGTAGTTTGTCAGGAGAAACAAGGCTGCAAATTAAATGTGAACTTTTTTTTGACAAACAATCAAACGTATTGTAGAGAGAGAAACATTTTACTGCAACTGAAACCACTGCCTTGTTCACTCATTCATTTCAAGTTGGCAAAATAACTCGATTTGTTCCTACACTAATGAAATACTTATCGAACCTTTTATCTCTCCTTGTTATTATTTATTTATTTTTTTTACGAGCCAAGACCAATGGTACTTGCAGGCAACGTTAGCAGACTTCTCTTTTATAGTTAATGTTAATTCTGTAACAGCTACACTGACAGTTTTGTATCTTATGTTTGACACTACGTTTTTGTGGTTCAACAAGAGCTGCAACTATTCTCTACAAAAATTATCAGCTGATCATGGCACGTTAAATACAGGAAAGTCCCAGTTAAACTTTTTATGCATGGGAAAATCAATATTTTGAGCTCATTAATGTCATAGTTGTGAATCAGTGCCTCCATTATTTGGATTGATACATTTGTGAAAAATCAGGACAAAGCTCAGTATGTTTCAGCTGTTATTTCAGTGTGTGAGATTACCATCAATCAACGATCAACATTTGATATATTCTGCTGCTCATCTCAGGTTGTACCTTAAGACCTCATCCCTATCACCGACAGCTGCAGTATTGCAAAACAGAAATTTTTCTATGACATGCAACACATTGCACTGTGGGATGGTTGGCGGAAAGCAGCGTACATGCCACAGACACTATGTTATTTTCCACTGTGGAGTTTTTGTGGGCATACATTTCACAAACACAGAATTCTGACACTCAAATAAAATGTCAGAGGGTAAATATTTATTCCACCTTAGCACCTCTGGGCATTATGGAAAAACCGAAAGGCAAATACAAGCACTGCACAAAGCACCAAACTCAAATTGGGTTGAAATGATGGAACCAAGTCACAGAAGTTTAGAATTGCAAATATTAGCAGAAGGGCACAAACACTACAAAACACTACTCAAACACACATATACTGGACATCACACCATCAGCTGACCCAGATTGTTGGTGGTGACGTGAACGGTATGTATGTGCACGTCAGACAGCTGTAATATAAAATATGGGTAGCTAGGACAGAAAACCACAAAACAACACAAACAACAAACTCCAGCAGAGATGAAAAACTCCCTAAGAGCAGCCAACCTCACCGAACAGGAAGCTGCTGCTGCTGCTGCTGCTGCTGCTTCGACCAGCCGCAGACACAAAACACTATCTGGCAATGATTTATTTTGAAATGGGTTTTTTATGGGTATTTATTTTTATTGGTGCATTTCCGTATTGTATTTGATGGTCTCATGTGTATGTGTTAAAGGAGACTCTGCTGCATTAGTAAGCCTCAAAAACCTGCCACCAATCATCACCACAGGAGAAACAGCCATCAGCCTTTTTAACAGTGATAATCACTCAACCTGTCTATATGTTGGGAAAATACTTTGAACAAGATTATTTTCAGGAGATATGTCTGACTCCGTGTGAAATCTGAAATAAATGTTGTAATACATGAGGTTTCTCTAATCATTGTTCAAACCATTTAGTAGCAAGAAAACATAGCTGTCACAATTTCCTGTTTTCTTCATTAGAGTTTCACATTTTCATTGTGATGGAACAACTTGAGACAGATTAGCCAACTAAGTGCTGAATAGGATGCAACAAAAACATTAAACTAGTGATAAAAGAGAACTTTAACAACTGAAGCTGAAGAAATAATTTTGAAAAATGTAAATGAATGGAACTTCTGTTCACTTCTTCTTTCTTCCACCTCATCATGTGAATTTCTGTGTTTTTCTGTTCTGTGTGTGTGAGCTTGGTTTTTATCTTGTTCAGCAATCTGCTCTCACATGAGCTGTGGTAAAACAGAGATGCCCGTCTAACACGTCTAACAGCCTGGATGGCTGCTTGTTATACTGCTCAGTTGTGTGATACAAAATATTTAGCAGGTCTCCAGCAAAGTGTTGTAGGTCCAGCCAAAAAGCACTGGCAGAAATACAGATGCAACAAGCTAAAGCTTGACTCTTAAGCTGCAACTACAGTAGAGCAACAGTCTACCAATAGTGTAGCATTGACATCATTAATCTATATTAAAACATTGACAACATTATCTTTAATATAAGCCACAGAGCATCTGTCATGATCGTGAGAAAACAAGAGCTAAATTGTGGAAGTCACTGGACATTTTCCATTATGAAGTCTGATATTACAGAGGCTCAGGTGTCTGACCTGCATTCAGTGTAAGTGTAGTGTAGTGTAGTGACAATAGAGAAGAGTTAGCACTGTGTACAAGTACAGATCTGTTTTGCACTCACTGTCCCAGTATGTGTGCAGTGCACATACCTGATAACAAACTTGTTTTCTGTGACATGGCATTAGATACACAGACCAACAGTCAGGAACACACACATATGTACACATACACACAGAACAAGATCGTTTTCAGCTTGTGGGTCAGAGCTGCACTGCAAACTCAGGGGAAGTTCCACTGACTGTCATTATTTCATATGAATCCAAAGTGATGAATGACACTACAGTAGGAAGAGATTGTGCAACTGGTAAAATCGCTTTGGACGTAACCTGACAAGGGCAAACATCGCTGAGCTCATTAGAATAACTTTACATATCCTAGCAACCTCCATCAACATCAGAACACATCCTGATCCTCAAACCTGCGCTGGGAACATCACCATTAATTTAAGGCAGCTGAGGCCATTTTAAATTAAAATAATAAAAATAAAAAAAGACAACTAAACTGGACTGACAGACCCATGACAATGTTAACATTTTGATGTCTGTACTCTTAAATTGTAGGAGAAGCAGAGTACTATGGTTCTAACTGACTATCAGAAACAGTCATTCATCCTGTACAACAGTAGCTGAGCCAGAAGTGACCCGTCCATACTTCTGGTAAAGAAGGAGGGAGGACGACAGGGAAGAGGGTCGGGGGGAGTGGGAGCTACATGGAACGTGATGGAAGGAAGTGGTTGCAAAAGTGAGAAGTCAAGGCAAGGTCATCCAGGATGTAGACTGTGATGACACAGCAGAGAATGAGGAAAAAAAAACAAAACAAATATCCCTGTGTGATACACAAAGATCCACAAAGTCCTTCTTTGTTGGACAATGTCTGGATTAAAACAGAAACTACAACATTGTGATTTTTACTAGAAAAGGCCTTTCTTCCCGAAAACACCTCCATAGTACACCCCCACGCATCAATATCATGTTGCTTTCACACTGCCTTGTACACACACACAAAGGTGATGAGTAACAACATTATGTGAATGCGTGGGCTAAGTTTTGGTGCTCCTACACAATAAAGGTTGTAGCTGCGACCTACGCACTGTAACAGATGATTTGTTTAGTTTTGAGAGTATGACTACCGGTATGTGTGTATGACCTTAGCTGCTGATGATAGCGATATTGATGGGAAGTTGTGATGGCTTCATATGTGAAAGGAAAAACGTGCTAAGTATGCTACAGGTGTGGGAAGTGACTTTGCACTCTGTCTTTACACTCATGCCAGTAAAAAATGCTGAACCTGAGTCAGGGATTGTGCTGTGATGCTTACCTGCTTCTACCTTGTATTTTGTTTTTATAATGTTCAAGGAACTGATGGGTGATTCACCTAAAGCATTTTGTAAAAACTAAAATCATCCCAGTCACAACTAGGTCACTGGTAGTTCTTAAAGCCTTTTTTAACAAGTGTCAGTCTACACCTGTCCTGTGACCACTTTCACCATTGCTATGGTTACAGGCCCTGCTCCAAGGGCCATCATGTGTTTTGCATGTAGATACTGAACCAGAGATTTAGCATTAAACTATGCCATTGTACTTGTTTCCTTCTGTTTCTGCTTTCTAAACCACACAATCTTCATACCAATGCGATGCAAAAACACCATTAATACATTTCTGAATGTAAACTTCCCAAAGCTGATCCAGTTCATTTCACACTAAAGAATCGTGCCTTCAGTGAAGAAAATTGAGTCTGAAAGGAATGACAACAACTTCCTCTGAGCTGAATGAACATTATGTGCTATGCAGACACTTGACAAAAATAAACAAAAAAATCCCCCTGGCAACCCACAATGCTGTAAGAGTATGGAAGTATACTGACGGCAAAGGACTGAGAGAGCACAAAACAAATTCAAGTGCTATTCAGTCCGTAATTTAACCTCTGAGAGCGTTCAGGCATGGATGTGTTAAGAGCAGAATTAACTTTGCCGCAAGGGAGGACAGAACCGTGACAGATGATTTGAGCAGTCAATGGGAACAGACGAATAACTATATTTGAGCCAGCAAAAGCAATTCTCACGCTAATAGTGATCAAAGCTGCTCGTGGTCACTTTTGGCAGTCTCGTTCTCGTTCACGAGGATGGGACTTATGGATGGATAGACGGACAGCCTCAAAACATAATACCTCCGGCCCTGGCTGTTGCTGGCACAGAGGCATAAAAATCTTTGCATTTGGTTCAATATTGTATAGGATTCCTACAGAGATAGAGTTGTTTTTTTTATCAAAGTAAAATCCTTGTTTAACCAGAAACACTCATTATATCACTACTCCACTAACAAAAACAGTAATTTTACCTCGCAGAACACAGAAGTTGCTGGTCTACCGCTGCCTCTATAAGTTAGTCTTTCTGTGGTGGAAGAAATATTCAGATCCTTTACTTAAATGAAAATATGTAACGTAATGTAAAAGGTCTATCTCTGTAGGAATCCTTTCCATAATATTGTCAGGTACTCATTGTAACAATCTGAACCTGTCAGTGGCAAAAACAAGCACTTGTAGCGGGCATATTTCACTGTGGACAACATGGTTTGGTTGCATCGTAGCAGATGTTTTGCAGTTGCTGTGTATACTGTTCTTGCTCAGTAGTGGACCGATTGCAGAGACTTTTGTCCTTATAAATCATTAACAGCAAAAACATTATCTTTTATTTAACTTCTATTTTTTGGTGTGATTTTCTGAGCCACATCTAGAGTTTTCTTTTTTTTTTTGTTTGCGTTTTCATGAATAAATTTTAAAATGATTAGCACCAATGTAAGAAAAAAAATTCATGAATGTGGCCTATAGTCATATTTGAGCAGAAGGCTAACCTCTGCAATCTGACATGGGGTGACAGCGGTTTACTGTGATATGATCTGACTCCATATAGAATCTTCAAAAAGTAATGGTTCAAATAAATGGAAATAAATAAAATAAAATCTGATTCTGTTTTTACAGATCTGTGTATGTGTGCTCTCAAAAGGCTGACGTGCAGATGGACTAACATTCAAATTTGTTGTGCGCTCTCTCCAATCCTTTGTCGTCAACATACTGCCACACCAGACTAACACCAGATAAACAAGTGTGATAAGGGAACCAAGTGCAGAGATGAGAGAGATTCTTCAACAAACTGAACTCCATGACGAAAGAGCACTATGCCCTCGCTCGGATGTTGAATCTCTGAAATCATAGAGAAATAATTTGCACGTATGCTTGATTCCTATTTGCTGAATCTAATGGTTTTTTGGTTGAATGCTTACGTCTGCATATTGGAATCCACAGTAAAGGTGGTCCTGATTTTTATTTTTTAAATCTCAAAGAATAATTTGTGTGTATTAGTGGTATGAAAAGGCCATTTTAGACTTAAATGTCCTTAATTTACAGGGTTTCCAGGCTTATCTGCGTGTAAGTGTGTGTGTGTGTGTGTTTGTGTGTGTCTGCGCAGACTCACGCCATAGCCACATTGCTACCATCTATGATAATGTGTCTGAGCTCTGGACGTCCCGGCTCGTTTGGCAGCTTCAGAGTGTAGGGAGTCCTCAGTGACTGATGGAAACGAGCCAAACCGGTCACTGGTGGTGCGGGGGGGTCGTTTGCAGGAGGTGTCCTGGCTGCACTTCCGTGAAACCCCACGTGGCCGATGGTCTGATAGGGAGAGGCCGAGGGCCGGTTGATGGGCTGAGCTGACTGAGGAGGAAAGTAAGAGGGAAAAAGATGTAAATTACAAATTAACAGAAAGCCAAAGCAGTGATTCATAACATGAATCTGAACTAAAACCCTCTCCATGTGTGGGCATGTTTCGGTCACAGGTGATTCCCAGCTCTGTGGTGCAATATTTGTATGTAGAAAAGGTGAGTGATATGGTAAAGAAAATAACATCTCAATATTTTAAAACTTTGACAACATAAGATATGCATGCGTTTAAAAAGGGATAATTCAGTACAATACATATGTGTATAGATTTATGTTGTATCAAGGCTGGTTTCTGTCACACAAATAAATTGAAAACAGGCAACTGAATAAAAACCTGTATTTACAGAGAAAAGTCGTCTGTTTCAAGAAGTCGCGGTTCAAATGAAAAGATTCAGGTCAGATGAAATATATCAATTATTATTACAATTCCTTTCTGGCTTTTTTTTTTGCTGTCTGTTCAAAACAAAAAAAGAGTTTTGTAAAGATAGATACAGTTAAATATAAATATGGACTTATTTGGGGTTTCATCCAGAAGTAAAACTGATTTTTAAGACATGAAGCCAACAACCAGAAATGATTCATCAGTAGGAATAGTGACTAATGGTTTATTTATTCTATGACCACTGTTTTCACAATTTCCCTGACTCTCCCAGGATATTCCAAAAAAAAAATTCCCACATCCAGCAACTAACCCCTTTAACACTGCACTAACATACCAAGAAAACCAGCATATTAAAAACCCATTCCAGACATATTCTAAGATGTATAAAAATACTCCTCTTCCATTAATATTGTGTTTGATGTGTCTTTCTTAAAAGTTTAACTACTAAGTTTAACTTCTTTAAGTTTAACTACTGGAGATAAAATGTCTTGTTAAAGGGGGGTTTAAGTTTCCACATCACATTTTTGTCAGTTGTGTACTGGACTATTATTGGCTCTAAACTAGAAGTAGTACAGTAGTACAATAGTGCATGTGTTAAACTCAGATTTGATATGAGCACAGAAAAATTCACTCATCAGCAGATGAATGAAAACAGCCTTCTAGTATTAAACTGTAAATATACACAACCAGTCAAAACTTTTAGAGCACCTCCATTTTTCAAGTTCTTAGTGAAATTTTAAAAGTGTAATGTGTCAGCATACTGTGAAAGTATAGAATAATAAAGATAAAAAAAGGAATCTTAAATCCTAAATTTAATCTAAATTTTGTCTGCAGCAGCTCAACACACTCATAATGTTCTTTCTACAATGGAAATGAAGCATTGTTCAGCAAGTTTATCCAAACACAGAAGTTTCCACAAATGTGTTGTTCTTGCAGGTTTTGCTTTTACCTTCTGTCCAGTTCATTCCAAACCAGCTCCATGTGATTTATGTGCGGGGACTGTGCTGCTCTTCCATCATGTGAAGCCACCGTTTGGTTCTTTTCTTCTAATGTTTGGCTCATTACCTTTCTGGCCTGTTTTCTATGTTTTTGGTGACCTGAACTTTATTTATTTATTTTTATCTTGTGTAGCTGCTTACCTTTGTATATTTTAAAGTTATTCACTGGACTTTAACTGCTGAAATTTCAAGAGAAACTGGAAAAATTGAGGTGTCCTAAAACATTCGACCAGTAGTGTACATCATTGAGGACCGCGACAGTCAAACATCCAAAAGTGAAGTAACAAAATGCAAAAGAACTTTTTTAGAGTGGAGGGGGACTTTAGAGTAATACCTACACTGGGAGTGGAAGCCAAGGAGGAGGTGGTGGCAGTCAGCCACTGAGGCGTGCTGCGTAGTGCTGTCACACTCTCAACTTTGACTGATCCTCCTAATGTCTGAGTCCCACCCCTCGACAGGTAGTCTCTCTGTGAGACGCCACTCCCTCCCCGCGCCAGGTAGTCTGTTCTGGATCCCGAGTGGGTGTCGAGGTGTGCCACAGTCATCATCCGTGACATCCTACCATCTGCTGTTTTGGGTTCCGTGGGGATGACATCATCGTCATCGTCAATGGTAATAACCTCGTAGTTTCCTGCTCCTCCTTGAGCACTCGAGCTCCTCTTGATAGTGATTGCCTGAAATGAGATTTGATACGATTTAAAAAAAAAAAAAAACAACAAAAAACAAAAAACACACACACACAATTCTGTCGTCTAAAACAAAGACAAATTAACCACAACATTTGGAAATGATATTTTTATCATGCTTTTTAATACCATGCCGCTTCATGTGCTGAACAAACTAATCTGTGAATTTAAACATGGAGATCTGGTCTTTCCCTCATCTAACAGTCCAAGAAGCTTCATTCAATTTTGCTGTTTTATCAAAGGAAAAGAAGTAGAAATAATGTCGAACTAAGAGGTTCCAGTCTGTGTGAGATGAGAAATACCTGTTGAGTGCTTGTTTCGCTGCCGCTGCACTGTCTTCGGTGCCCCAGCCCATTGCTACTGCTGCCATGCTGGTTGGGCTTAATGTTCTCTTTAGACCTGCCTGGGTCTACCAATGCTCTGCTCAGCTCGCGCTCCTTCTCTCTGAGTCGAGAGACAGTAGAGGAAGAGGAGGAGGAGGAGGATGAGGTGGGAGTATCTGGGGAGCGCATAGAGTTCAGTCGTCTTTCTTTTTCTCCTCCTTTTGACCCCTCCTCACAACGCTTGGTCTCCTCAACGATCTTCTCCAGGACGAGGAAAGTATCTTCTGTCTGTCCTGTCTCCTTGACAACGCGCTCCACTACTTCCTGCTGGTAACCCATGGTTCTGGAGAAAATTAGTTTTAACAGTGTTTCATTTTGCAGTATGAGAGGTGTTAAAGAATAGGTTCAATTTTTTTCAAGTCTGTCTTTAAACAATACTCACACGCCTATATGCACATTAAGAGTTATTGGTGGCTTTAATTGCTCCTCCTGCCCATAGTGTCTCTGATGAGATTGCTTCCTAAAGTGATAACAATGTAAGAGATAGGGGACAAAATCCACAATGCTTGTTTTGTGCAAAAATGTGATCTAAATCTCAACTGTAGCTGAAACTTCATCAGTCTGAGAGAGTTGGAAAAATCAAGTGAGTCAGTCTTTTACTGTAAAGTTCCCTCTTTGCCGCTGCACTGCAAAGAAACCCTGTGCAGCGAAACACAAAGGAAACGTGCTCTACAAAGACATTAACTTAGAAAGACAGACACTTGATTTGACTAATCCAGACTAGTGGAGCCTCACATTAACTTCAGCTTGACATTAGAATCAATTTTTACACAGCATGAACACTGTAGATTTTGAGCTCCATCTACATTAAAATGAAAAAAAAGGTATATGTTCACTCTTCACAGCCAGTATAGGAAGGAGGAATAATTACAGCAAGTCTTTCTATAGAGATATAAGCATTGTTTTAAGACAGAATAATGTGAACCCATCCTTTAACAGACCATGTTAGGGCTACAGCTTACAATTAACATTCTTCTCAACTGATCTGCTGATTATTTTTACATGTAATTATCTAGTTGTAAAACATTAGAAAACAGTGAAACATGCTTCCACGCTTTGGTCCGACCAACAGACCGAAACCGAATAATATTTAATTTACTGTAATGCAAGACCAAGAAAAGTCATAAATTCTCACATTTGAGAAGCTGGAACTGTCACATTTTGACATTTTTGATGGCGCAAAGACATAAAAGATTAGTTGAATAGATGCTGAGTAATTTTCTGTTGACTATGTCGTGACTCTGGATCGCATTTTACATTCATGAAAAAGGATAAATTACATAAGTTAACAAATAATAGGCTAATAGGTCTAATATAATAATGACTTCAAACCATTATGACGTTTACCTGAAGAAATTGACCAAGCAGCGAAGGTTAGTTTCTGGGCTGACTGCCTCTCCATCATCGGAGATACCTTCACTGGAGTCCAGCATGATCGGACCGACAGTGTTTGCTTTAGCTGAAGAGGAGAGGGATGATGAAGCAGAGGGCGTTTTGGATCTGCAGCTGCTACTACCACTCCGACCCTCTCTGTCCCTCTGCCGCTCCCGCTCTCTCGCTCTCTCCGGTGACTCGTCTCTCCGCTCCAGAGAGTATTGTCTCTTTGTGTCCCGAGTCTCGCTCTCAGATGAGCGCCGTTTGTGTGAGGGCCGAGTGCCATTGAGCAGGATGACCTCAGGACCTAAACCTATCCCACCTCCTGCTTTACCAGCTCCAATGACAGATGCCGGCCCAGTCCCTTTGTCTTCAAAGCTAGTGTCCAGGATGCGGTTAGAGAGTTCTGTCACTGGGGTGCTACTCTGCGAGCGGTCCTGGTCAACCTCAGACATGCTGGGATGCAGTGTCTGGTTGAGCTGAGCCTGGAAGAGGAATCAAAATGCCAATCATAGTAAAAGTTTCCGTCAAACACCGACACTTGCCATGGTCATATTTCATAATGCACTTCCCTAGTTCTCCATACTAAAAGCTGAGTTTGTGTAAAAACACAAATTTTCTCTTTTACTTCTGCACAGTCGCCATGATGATTTGACTAGTTCTTCAACTTTCCTGCTGATCATAAGTTCCCCTTCTTACAATGGCTGTTAATGCCTAAAAGTAACACTGGTAGCTTTTATACATTTTTTGCATTGCTTACAGGTTTAATCCACTTACAAAGTGTTTGAGAGTTTTACAATGCAAGTTAAAATAGAATCCTGTACCACAGCATTTTCAAAACTGAGCATGACAATGACCGTACACCTATGTCGTGAGATTACAAGTTTGTGTTTGTATGAGGAAAGAAAAGTTCTTTAAAGTAAAATGTTTACTTCTTAAATATGTGAATTTTTCATTAGAATAGGAACAATAACAACTTGTAACTTTTGTAACTTATATAAACCTATCCTGCAGCCAAGGACAAACAGACCTTCACAGATAACAGTAGGGAGTAAATTCACTTCAGTAGGGTGAGATATTTCGCTCCAATACATCCAATCAAGACAATACATACACAGGATGCCCATTGTTTATTGAGAAGTTTACTGAGTCCACTCTAGAATGTGTACTTTTTTTGTCTGAAAATACTGCTGTATTTTGCAATAGATATGTCAGATTATGCAGGTTAAAATTCCAGCTATTATCCCAACTACCCAAAGCAGATGCATTTTACTGTTTTCTAAATTTGCAGCAGATATTCAAAAGGCCATCTAGGGGATTCAAGTTTCTGCAGTGGTTATGCTGTACTGTAATAAATCACATGAAAAAGGTGTACACTAACCAGGGAGGATGTGTTTGTGCTAGTGGGGCTGTGAGCCAGTCCTAGTAACTCTTCCTTCAGGGCACTGGGCAACAGAAGAAGCTCCATAGTGTACTTATCATCCCTTTCCTCCACGAAGGATTTGAACGCTCGTTTCACTGCTGGCTCTCTGTCACTCGGTAGACTTCGCTTCTCCTGGACACGACACGACACGACACGACACAACACGACACAACCACAAACACACACACACACGAGCATGTTGTATTGAATTAGGGTGCAACTATACAAGTACAAATTACAGATGTACAGAAAGGTGAACAGCTCTGTCACTACAGCTCTCAGGTTCTTGATGTGCAAAAAAGTCCATCCATCTATTAGACTAATATGCTGCACACTAAAACTGTGTGTGATGACATATGATTCGAGCCCTTACCTGGAATAGTGCTACAAACTGCTGAACTCTGCTTTGGGCCATCACGACAGGCTCAGCCCGGCCCAACAGCCGCAGCCGGCCTGGCTCAGGCACCTGAACCTCGGCACTTGTATCCCGTATGAGCCTGTCCAGGAAGAGGCCACGGGCACCAGCAAAGATACAGTGCATGTCCACTGGGTACCGCTCCTCTTTCTGTAGTTCTGGGTCACAGAGTCCTCGAACATATTCCTGCATGGCAAGGAGAAGATTGTAACGAAAACATCAATAACTGAACAACTATAATTACTGTATATGACGGACCTGTTTTCTGCACCTTGACAAACAAAGCAGTGAAAATGGATATGGCAATGGATGTGAGTAAAACAAAAGCAAGCACCCGCTAATAAAAAATAATCAGGTAAAAACTACAGAATAACTCCAGGACAGCAACTTTATCTGTTATTTCTACAAAATTCAGAATAAAGCATATTAAGCAAAATGAAATGTATGCATTTATGTTACAGGGCTAGTGCCAAACTTGCTTGTATGCAGTCTCTTAGTTGAGTAGCGCGCGCACACACACGCACGTGCACGCACACGCACAAACACACATGTCCCCACACCTCACTGTAGAGCAGTAAAACTGACATGTGCTGAAACTAAACACTTGTCATTGATTCAGGGAATCTTCTAGCTATGGGAAATATTTGGATGAATCAGCTGCTGGTAGGTGCGGTAACTTCCTTACAGAAACTGTGTCACATTTCTTCAGGGTTAATGTGTAGAAAAAAAAGTTAGTACTGAGAACGTAAAATGACTCAACAATGACGCAGTGGGAGAGAAAAAAAAGAAAAAAGGATATCAGACTTGAAAGAGAACCAGATCACAAATGTATGGGTGTGGCTATTAAAGTGAAACAACCAATAAAATGAGTTGGGATTTCCAGTAGGTCTGACTCTCTGCAATAACCAAACACTCCTTTTTAATAACTACAAATAAAAGTAAAAGTAGAAGTTTTTAGTTTAGCACAAATCTCTGGAAACAAACTTGTCTCGAGTTGCAGTAACTGTACTTAGTTTTGTGATTTTTAAGCACACAGTACGATTATGTATGATGTGGTTCACGAGGTTAGTAAGTACTTTTCACTTGATACACATTCTTGAACAGTATGACTAACTGAGAGTAGATAAACTGATCACTGGCCAAGTCGCATGACCCTCGAAAGCAACATTCACTGTATTAAAGTAGACCTACATCGAGGCCTAACCTGTGTCCTCACTCTGTGTTCCAAATTTACTGTCATTTACATACTGGCTCGTTTCTGGAAGGTACACACTAACCCCAGGTATCGATATGGTATTACATGTCCTGTTCATCTATGGACTCTGGATATGAAAGGAAGGCGAAAAAGAAAGTACTACTATTACTGCTTTCAACCAAAGAGTCCCTATGAGAACAGCTGACAGTAAAGTCACAATTTCTTGTCAGAGATGGGGCTCTTTTTTTCTTTTCTTTTTTTAATATAAAACATTTTGACTGATGTCAGCACAACAGATAAAATTCCATTCACATCTGTTGTATTGGTATGACGGCTAAATACATCCAGTCACAAACGTATTGCCCCTTCTGTAAGTCAAGCAAACAGCTTTACATTGCCAATTTCCTGGCACTGTGAGAGGAAGCAGCAAACTGTGGCAGATTGTTGAAAGAGAAAATAACAATTTTCAATCATGTGCACCATTTTTGTCATGGTTGGTTTACTGCAAACTTATGAAACTATATTAAAAGAAAAGCAGTCACGGGAATGATGACAGTTATTTCCCAAACTAGAGGAACAAGATACCCAACCTAACTTGATATTGCTAATAAGGAAGCCATTTATAACTCCTATGTCATACTCATGATGAGTTGAAGAAGCTGACAGTAAAATTACCTTTTCCACATCACATTCTCGGTTGACTGGCAGAGCTTGGAGCAGCTGGTTACAGGGGAAGCAACTTCCGCACAAAAGTGAGACTCATGACACAAGATACAGAAGTGTGAAAGATTCTCTGGTAAGGGAAATCACACAGAAAAAAATGCATTCTAGAGATATTGACAGCTATTTTGCAAGAGTAAGCGTGGTATAATCTCTCAGGCCCAGATAACTGTTAAACGAACAACAGTGCAAATAATAAACACATTGTGTTTCATGGTTTAGTCATCAATTTAAATGAAAAGTAAAGCAGCAACAGTTAGTTGACTCACCAATTTGTTGATCAACAGAAAATCAATCTGTAACTATTTTGATAACTGAATAATCATTTTATTTTTATTCTTTTAAGAAAGATGCATTTGCTGGTTCCAGCCTCTCAAATATGAAGTTCTTCTGTTTTTTTGTCAAATATTACAATGCACCTAATAACAATGGCTTTTAGACAGTTGGTTGGACAAAACCATCTGAATGTGTCACGTTGGACGTGGAAATTTTAGCAGGCATTTTTGACTATATTTCGACATTTTAGTGACAATCTACTTAGTCGATAATGAAAATAATTGTTGGTTGTAGCCCTTATGAAAAGCATTCTGCCAATTTAAACTAAAGTTTTCCACATCATGACATCCTTCAATGTCTAGTGATGTAGCCCTTCCACAGACTTGCCTGTAATGTGAAACCAATCTTATTGTGATTGTACTGTATTGTAACTTTGCCTCCAATTACTTTCCATAATCACGTACTGTCAACTGTGTTAGTTTCCCAAAATTGCACAGACAAATGAAAGTGTGTGTATCACACTGAGCCAAGTCTGCACCTATTTAACAAACATCAGCAACATGTTAGGATGTGGCTTCATTTAAATGGTCAACAGTCATAAACTGATAAACTAAAAGTCATTTTGAAACAAAAAGACCCGTCTGTGATGTAGTCCAACAATAAACCGACTAAATCAAATGTCATGACATTTGTGACTAAATACCACAGCATAAAATGCGTGTTGATATTTTAGTAACATTATGACTACTGTTACTTTCATAAAATATCTGCTCTAAACTAGAGTAGGCGATATTAAGTCTCAGAAAACAATTTGTACAGCAGACGTAGTGGTTACCCTAACTTAACCCAACCCTAACAAAGTTAGTGCTGCCTTTTTGAACACACACACACACACACACACACACACACACACACACACACACACACACACACACATCAAACCATATCTGATCTCGATACTGTATTATCTCTCAGCTCTGATGTTATATTATAAGCTCGTGAAATGTGTGATGAAACAGCGGAGGCTGGTGCCAATCACAGGACCCTGATACACCTGTTCATCAGCCACAGACAGCCAAACAGTGAGCAGTAGAGCCAGCATGGTGGCTCTGATAAAAACAACGTGTGACAGTGGTCTGTCGGTTCATTTACAGAACATGCAAGTGAAACAAACTTAAAGAGCCTCACCTTTGCCTTTGACACGTCGTCTCTGTTTCCTCTCAGTTGCAGCCATATCTGCCGTGATGTTTTGCTGCCGTGCGGCTGTCCCGTGTGGTCCAACAGACCGATAATGGTGAACGTTACTTTAAAAACCTGCTCCACTCGAGGCTTGGCACATTTCAGCTCTTCTTCTTTATCCTCTAGGACTGTAAACTCGTCCACGGTGGGGGCCTCTTGCTGCTGCCTGCCGGCTGACGCAGGGAGCCTGCTGCTCGGCTGTTCCGGGCACGTTAGCTCGGTGACTCGTCTCATTCCGAGGAGGGGCCGCGTTGTTGACATTCTGCCTCTCGGTCTGACCGTCGTCCCTGACAACGACGTCTCAATATTCAAACCTTTCGTTACCGTTGTGAGCCTTGGGCATTTTCATGGTCTCTTTTGGTGGGTACTCCACAACAAAGTAGCGACGTTAACAGAGTCTAACGACATGAACACAGAGGTAGAGCTAGCCTAATAACTCGGAAGCCCCGAGTGACGTATCCGGAAAGTCCCAGTGATGGCGTCATCAAAACACGACAGTTAAGTGTGTTCCTCACGGCGAGTCCACAGATGGTTATCAGTTAAGGTGTTATGAAAGCAAACTATCAAGAAGAGACCCGCAGTGACCTACAGTTTTACGACATCAAACCGTAGATTAAGATTCTGTGAGATGAAACTTCTTTGCCCCGCCAAAGAGTGTTTGGCCGACGTCTGTGTGGGGATATGATCAGCTGATGACGACTTGGTCGATTAATACAAGCGAGTGTGCAGCTGTGCAGGCCCGTACAGGCCAAACAATCCAAAACATTGCTGCTAAAATGTGCGCAGCTTTGCCCTCTCGTGGTTGTGAGCCGTCATTGCTTCTTGCAGTCGGTATAACAGGATTGATCAGCTCTTCCAGCTCTGCTCTTTGGGTGTCTGGGTGTCAACAAGGCTGAGTTACCTTGGTCACTTAATTAATTACAAATTTGTCAGGTGGGTTTTCCATTAACCGCTAATTTTGTGACCATGTCTTGTGGGGGAATCCTGTGTAAGAGTGTAGTTTAGGTTATATTGTACTCTCATGATGCATATTTCTAATTTTCTGTGGTCAATCAAGTTACAAAAAGCCAACACAAATCAGCCAATGTATTATTTCAGCAAAGAAAAACTGGTCACACTGGACTTTGGGGGAGGACATATTGGAAGTGAACAAATCACACATAATTTCTTGTTCGTTGCTGTGTGCGTGTCAGTAGCTTGTTCATTAGAAAACAGGGATCCAAGAAAGTACAACAAAAACTTCCTCTTCCACAGACATTCATCCACTCCAGGTAAATGCTAAACTTACTGTTTCATTGCTAAGTAACTTTTTGTTTTTTGTTTTATGTGGGAAAATCACCACAGAGTTTCCAAGTGAATTTCCCCCTTATTTCCATAAAGTTGAACATTTTTAACTTTATACAAATTGATTTTTTTAGTTGCTGTTTTAAGTTGTTTTTACCTACACCACGTTGAATCCCATAATGACTTCTACACAGATTCACCAATGTCCCATAGAAAATGAATGGACTTCAGTGGGGCTTCATTGTGAATGTGAACACAGATGAGGCCTTCAGGACCCTTAACAGGTTACTCTGTCTAATTTAATTTTATTGCTTTTCCATTTACCTCAATTTCATAGAGACCCAGGTTAATGGTTGGAACTCTAAAGTTAGCTCCAGTATTATTTTAGTATTTAGCTGGTAACAACAATTAATCAAAGTGTGTAATGCTGTTTGCATTCTTGATATTCAAGCTTCAGTGCTGCCCTGTGCAGCAGCAGCAGCAGCAGCAGTAAGCCCAGCTTACTTACTTACATCTAGAAGTTGAGTTCTGTTAGATAAGGTGGGATAGGGCTCCCATTAAAACTATGCTACAGTTATTAAAAATTATATGAAATACATTTACATAACTGGTGTCTCAAAACGGTGCAAATGAAAGGTGGACTGTGTTTGAATTAAAGAGATGAGGTATTTCTTAGTTTAAATAAAGTGCTTTTTTAAATCACCTGTTATTTGTCTGTTAACTTCATAGGCATCATTTCAACACACAGGCTGCTCTGAGTCAACACTGTGTTGCATAATGAGGGTGTTAGTGTCCACGCCTTAGATGGCAAAGTAAGATTCTTTTCATTGAGCCTCACAGAGACCTTTCTGTGAAATCTGTGAAAATGTATGAAAAATGCTGTGAAGGTTTTGATGTTGTAATGTGTAGATGCTTTCAACAGATCTGGTAACAATGAATTAAAAAGCTAGCATTATTACTAAGGGTCGAGTGTGGACTAAGATGGACATGGGTTGCTACTGTGTACACAATCTATGAACATATAGGAGGACTGTGTAGATTTAAATCATAAACATAAGTGTAGCTGTTGAGCTTTTTTAATCAAATCTGTCTTTATTTATTTATTATTTATTATTCATTAATTCATTTTCTTTGGAAAGAACATTCTCAACAAACAGCCATCTGGCCTGACTTTCAGATAGTGTGATGTAATGAAGGTAAAGGACACACTTTTATTTAGAGGAAGAGTAACAGGTGTACAAACCCAATAAGGAAATAAAAAAATACATTATGAAATACATTATACTGCTCATATGAATACAAGGAGAAGGAAGCAGACAGACAGGGGAAGTAGAAGACAAAGAGACATCTATATGGAATTATTTTTGCACTGTACCGCTGCCAGAAATGGCCATTAATTCTATACTGATTTAAAAATGCTATAGCATTTTGCATTTGTAAAACAGAGCTGGAATAAAGATAGTATGATGATAGTGGTAAAGTAGAAACAGATTTGTGTGTCTGAGGTTGTTTCTGGTTTCTTTACATATGGTCCATCAAGTCATGTGACTTATAAATCACCATAAATACAGCGTGTCCAAAACAATATTCCAGCCATATCGTAAAATACTGTTTAAAAAATACAGTGACCACAAATACAAATACATGACTTCCAACTTACAAATTCTTCTCCTATACTAAACACACTACTGTATACTCAAATCTCTTCAGTGTCTTCTTGATAGTTCTAAGTCAGTCTACAGTTGTCCTCAACACATCCTATGGAGAGGATAGAAAACGGCTTAAAATACTAAATGTAAATGATGTCAAATCATAACGGGGTGAATCTTTTATACAAATATAAGTCATTTTTGTCTGTGAGCACATTTTTATAGTGTTCTCCATAGCAACAGTAGATGTGGTGAGGATGTGACACTGATCCACAGCGTGTCTCAAGGTTTCATTGGCGATTTCATTGTAAGATGTACGAAGATGTTGTCAGGCGCACTGGTAGTGATTTTTGATGTACTGATGTCACATAGCTCCTTGTATACCATGCCTTTTGCAATTCTGCAATTCAAAAAATGTGGCAAAATGGCCACAGTGTAAAACTACATGACATTCACAAATCTTGCCATCTGTTCAATTTAAATTTATCACTTATCACAACTTTTTTTTTTTTTTTACAATTTTAATTAAATGGTCTGTCTTAACACTTTTATTACATATAAGATTTTGAAATTACGTTTTTATAAAAATTTTAATAACTTGGCATAATTTTACAGAAACACAACATTTGATATTGAACAGCAACCTCAGGGACCACAGATGGCACTTAATCGTAAATGCTAAGTAGACGAGCCACAAAGCCAGTATACAGCAATAATAAGCTAATGTCACCATAAGCTACTGGTCATGTCATAAAACCAATGAATATAGTGAAATGAGGCAGATTATGTCATAATATAAATGTGAATATATATACATATACATATATATACATTTATGCTTAGAAATTAAACTTGTATTGAAACTTTTTTTTTTTCAAAAAGTTACAACGTCTCATTTTTAAAAAAAAGAAAGGGTAGGAGGGCATGTGAAACTATGCAGCTGCCAGGCTGGTATGTGCCATCCCACATGGTTTATTCAGTCAGGTACACAATATCACAAAAGGCTGAATAGAAAATCTTTCTAAAAAACTACATCCTCCACTAAATACACCCAGAGCTCAGAAGCTCATGATCACACTCTGACACTGCACCTACACGCACAGTGGGCTTACACTCAAAAAGTCTCACCTACCTTCTTCCACCCTCTGCCTCACTTTCAGCAACTTTGGGCCGTGGGAATGTTTGACCCTGTTGGCTGGAAATGGTTCTTAAATCCAACTGTGTGACGTGTGCTGTTCTGAAAAGATCACCACACTCATGGAAAAAGAACAAGGTGCAAGAAGCAATAACTTGGAGAATGGAAGGCTCAGTGCACTTAGGTCCAATTCAAGTACAGTATAAAGACCAGTTTCATCATGGTGAATGTCCTGCTGCTGAACTGTCATACATCAGTTTTGCTACTATTGTCAATTGTGCAATGAATTGTTTATGACAATAGATAATGTTCTTGTTAAGTTCTGAACATTTTGTGGTAAATGCCTCTAAGGGATTGTATGAAAATGATTTTTGGGGGTTGGCCAGGTTGGAGTCAGGGCAGTAGTAGTTCATGATTCCCTTGAAAGATTTATAGTAACATAAATGAAATAAAATGAACAAGAGAGCTGTCTGTGCCCAGTCCATTCATTTAGTAACAGTCATAGTCTAATAGCTTATTAAAATAGTCATAATAATTCATCAAGTAGCCCATTGTTTAAAAATCTAGAATGGCTGAAATAAACTGGATTTATTCTTTTGTCATATTTGCCATAAGTTTGGCAATTGTCTGTTTTACTGTCTTATTGACGCATGGGGGTTATTATTATTATTATTATTATTGTTATTATTATTGTTATTGTGTTTATAAAACAATGTTTCAAATAACCTATGATGTCAACATAGCGCAGGAAGCTGCGTGGGTCAGGTGACAGTGAATTGTGGCTACAGCCTGTGATCTTATTCACTCTTAATCAGTTAATAAACCAAAAAAAAAAAATCTCTTCCCTTAGAATAAATCACTGCTGAACTAGACCTTACACAGCATCAGACACAGAGTTTTTCAGCTCATTACCTAAATTAATTTTTGGTCCCTCTCACTGGGAACCAGGCGAATAAAAAATAAATTTTCTCTCAATAAATAAAAGATAGTTTTAGATGAAGATGCATATAGATGTTAGGTTTTTACTATGATTGATGCTGTTAGATCTCAGCATCCCACGACACTCAGAGGGAATGTATGTACAATGACAGTAGAGGACAGTTGATTTTTTTTTTTTTTTTACACAATACTCTCAAACTAAATAACATCTGATTAATCCACAAATACATAGATAGGAAGCTAAATGTATCATGCAAAAAAGAAAAAAGCTGTACATGCTATATTCTGATTTGCCAAACACAAACCAGTGAGCAAGTGTTGCTGTTCTCAAACTTTTCTTCTTCAACAGGCACTAGATGGTGCTGTAAGCTTCGTAATGGCAACTTGACAATGAGCTCTCTCCTGTCCATCCTCCCTGATGACAGAGAGTAATATCGACTTAAAGATG